GAGGCAGCAAACTGGCGGCCCTCCAGCTGTTGTAAAACTACAAGTCCCATCATGCCATTGGGAGTCATGCTTGTAACTGTCAGCCTTGCAATGCCTCATGGGACTTGTAGTTTGGTAACAGCTGGAGGGCCACCAGTTTGACACCAATGCTGTAGCCCCACCCTAGGGTAAGCAAATCTATTTGAAGCCTAACTGAAGTGCTGATTGAAATCAATTAACCACTTCCTGTCCGGACACTTTTACCCCCTTCCAGCACGATATTCTAATTTTTCGAGTTTCACCTGTACATTTTTTATATATATATATATATATATATATATATATATATATAGTATATATAGTTTATTTTTAGCTTTTACAACATTTCCTATTTAGATTTAAAAAAAAAAGTCCCAAGGGTTGCTTTAACCACTTCAGGTCTGGAGACTTTCACCCCTGTCCTGTCCAGGCCAATTTTCAGCTTTCAGTGCTATCACACTTTGAATGACAATTGCGCGGTCATGCAACACCGTACCCATATGAATGTTTTAGCTTTTTTGAGACAGATAAAGCTTTATTTTGGTGGTATTTATTCACCACTGGGATTTTTATTTTTTTTTTGCTATGTAAATTAAAATGTCCACAAATTTTGAAAATAAGTGTTTTTCTTATAAAATTTTGCAAATAAATAGTATTTCATCATAAATCTTGGCCAAAATGTATGCTGTTATATTTTTAGTAAAAAAAAATAACCCAAATTAGTTTTGTGTAATATTAGATTGTAAGCTCCAAGGAGCTGGGCCCTCCTAACCCTCTTGTATTGAACTGTATTGTTGCTGTATTGTCTCCCGTTATATTGTAAAGTGCTGAGCTCTGCGTGTCCTTCAGGTGGGCGGTAAACCGCAGCTTAATTGCCTGCTTTTACTGCACCCTGGCCACACATCTAAATGAGCTATAACTTTTTATCCCATTATTTTTGGCTGGAAATTTTGCTTAAGACCTCTTTCCCAAGGGAGGTAGTCCTTCTCACCTCTCCGAAAAACAATGTGTGGTGGATCAGAGACAATGGGGGAGATGAACTAAAACTATAGCATGAAGTTAGAAGCTGATTGACTACCATGCACAGCTGCACCAGATTCTGAGTGCTCCGGGTTTAGTAATTCTCCCTTAATATGTACTTTATTTGGTCGTTTTTGTTCTTTTTCCAGACGAATGAGGACTTTGCGTTGATATACCATGCCACTGCCCTATTGATTTCAATGGACAAGTTTGAATGGTGAGGTAAAATGGTGAATCTATGTGCACTCACCTGAGCAGCCAAGAGGTCAGTTTGGAAATGGTTGCTCAATGGGACAAGAAAAACACAATTTTTTATTATAGTAAATAAATAGATGCAGCGCTAAAAATATATTAATAATGTCCGTAAATTATTAAAATAAGTTAAAATTATATGCCAGATAAATGACAGTCCGTGCAGGTCAAAGTGCAAATAGGCAGTAGAATCCAGTGATAGTGCTCCAAAACGTGTGGTAAAATTACGCACTCACCAGATGCGTAAAGTATATACGCATTAAATGAATCTGAGGAGGTCCCCTTTAGGAGTTGGATAAGCTCCTAATCCAGGATAATCCTCTAGGTAAGGTGGTGCTGTCAGGCGCTCACAGGTAGTTACAGGGTCCAGCTGGCCAGAGATCCCTTTAAGGGATGGACGGGTGTAGGTGCCTGCTTTAAGGGACTCCCTTCTCTGGGTACTTAACAATGGCCGGATCGGATGGGCTCTATAAATAAATTGCTCTGCACAGTAGACCATTAAAGAATGCCCATAGTGTAGTAGGTAATACAAATGTATTGTTAAAAACGAATTTGCAACTTCAAGTAAAGTAAGATCAGGTAACATCAGGTATTGGACTAACTGTCCAACAAGGAAGATGGCCGCCGGGCCTCCACGTGGCGCCGGCGTTCTGACGAAGTCTGCGGTGATTGGCGGACGAAACGCGTCAATGTGATGACATCATTACGCTCGGCGTCTCCATAGGGCGCGGTGCCCACGAGGAAGGAAGAAGCGGTCTGCTTCAGTTCCACATCTGAAAGGCAGGAGACATTCAAATTACGATGAATATACCATCTTAAGCAGCCCGAACATGGTGATTCTGAATCACAGCATACTTCCACCGGTGGCAAGTTATTAGCCGTGTAGCCTATTTAGGCTTGAGCCCTAATTTGTATATGAGGTATATCCTCGCACCTCTGAAAAATCAGTGCTTACTCTACCTCATAATTGGGGGAATTTTTTGAACTCCTATTGGAGTAATACGTATTTAATACGCCATACATGTGCTGTGGCATGTGAAAATAGTCTCATATATCTCTAAGGAACTACATTACTTCCTCATCATTGAGCAATTTTTGGAAACCCAGATTTGGGCATATATATCATAGTATATTTAGACTGTGTTATATCAGTCTGGACTTTATACATTTACTACCTGGCTTCCCACCCCTGCATTCACTTTTTTCATCAAGACCTGATCGTATTTCAAGCGGGATTGAGTCCTCTTGATCTTCTATATGGTAATATTTAGATTTTTTTACCTCTATTTATTTATTCAGGTACACGTTTTTTGTTATTGATGTTTTACATCTATACACTCTTTTAGAATCATCTATTACTGTGGATACACTTTCATCTGGGGTGGTTACCCAGGAAGGCCATATATCCATCCCTCAATGATGGTCAAGCTTTTGAGAAGGTAATGATTAAAATATACACTAGTTATGTGTTTACTGGGCTAATATATTTGCCCAGTGCATTTACCCTATTTTAGTTCCACCTACTATGATCTTTTTCTTTTTTGGTTTTTCCATTTTAGGAAGTCATTCTACTTATTGGGATTATTACCAAAATGGTTTTTGAAGAATGATCTCCCTCTGCTGACTTTGTATGGAAAATTCTCTGATCTAGTAGTTAGGAACTCCATTGCCTTATGCGGATCCTTAATTACCAAACAACCACTAAATCTGGAGACGCCGAATGTTTTTAAGTGATTTTACTATTACCTGTTTACCATATCTATGTCTAACCTCTATATGATCCATGTGATCGAATAAAGTTTTTTGTATGATAATATTACTCCGCTTGGATTTTCAAGTAACCACTTTGTTTGAGCAGTACTGCATCTGTCACACTGCTATTTTTTTGTTAGGTATATTGGGTTCATAAATCCACACTAATTATGAATGAGACGGAGATATTAATATGACATATGTATACGTGTCATATTAGGTGGCTTTTTCTCGTTTGGTTGTTTAACATCAGGTATTGGACTAACCGTCCAGCAAGTAAGATGGCCGCCGGGCCTCCATGTGGTGCCGGCAGCGTGACGTCACGGCATCTTGGCTCCTACTAACGAGTTTCGTGCGCACACACTTCTTCAGGATTCCGATGACGCCATGTAATCACTACAGTCTATTTATAGGCAAAATGGCGCGTGCATGTTACGTCTATTTTTTACGAGTATTTTTATTGCCTCTTTGCCATGCGTGCCAAAGAGGCCTATATACTGATTTCTATTATTTTAGGACTCAACGTTCAGATATGATACAAAAACTCATCTTGCCCAGGAGCTACTCTAATTGGAAATTTTAGGAGTGTTTAATAAACTTTACTCTGCCAGTAAACGCTGTCCTGCGTGAAGTGGCCTGGAACACATTCACCTCCATGGAAAGCAGGTTTTCATCCCCCCACAATTTCATGAGGTACCTGACGCATATGATTTCATCTTTAACATCTCACTAAACTCCTATTTGTCAGATGTGCACTGAGCTGTGGAAGTGACAGGAAAACCGTCAAGCCGCCGAATTATTAACAGTATTTCAAACGGCTGGGCGGCTCGTATGTAAACACTGTATTTCAGGCCGGGAGGAAAACCACAGCGGAGTGAATTATACTGGTTCGCTTTAGTCATCAATATTGTTTCCAGTCATGGAGTGTTTTCATCATTGCTGTTATCAGAGACTGTCTACCACAAAGTCATTTGTGTCCAAACCACGAGGTGAAAAAAATAAGACAAAACCAAACGGGAAAAGCCATGAAGTTGAGAATATGAAGACGGCGAGGCCAGAAGAAGCCTGCTTGAATCGATTCCTGCAATGTCACTGTAGCGATACCTCTTAAGGAGCCACTGGATTTTGGGTCTCCCTTTGTCTGCACAGTTAGGCAACACGCATTTTTCCAGTTTGCATTCTCAGTCAATTACCAGTCCTTGGGCTTGTTTTTATGTTTTATTGAAATAAACTTGGATGAGGATAAGGGGTTATGGGATGATGAAACTGAGTTCAACAACTTGGAGGACAACTTCTCTATGTATAATTTGAAGCAAAAATGGATCCTAGACTGTTCTCCCTCCAGAATAATGTCAGTCTTTATCCACTTGCCTACCAGGCACTTATACCCCCTTATTTACCAGGCCAATTTTCAGCTTTCAGCGCTGCCGCACTTTGATTGACAATTGCGCGGTCATGCAACATTGTACCCATATGAAATTTTGATCATTTTTTTCTCACAAATAGATCTTTCTTTTGGTGGTATTTAATCGCCACTGGGCGCTTTACTTTTTGCGCTATAAATAAAAAAAAGTGCAAGAAATTTCTTTCTTTGTTTCTTTGTTTCTATTATAAAATTTTTCAATCAGGTAATTTTTCTCCTTCACTGATGTGCGTTGATGAGGCAGCACTGATGGGCACTGATAGGTGGCACTGATGGGCACTGATAGGCAGCACTAAAGGGCACTGATAGGCAGTACTAATGAGGTGGCACGGACACTAATGAGGTGGCACTAATATGCAGCACTGATAGGCGGCACTGATAGGTGACACTGATGATGGGTACTGATAGACGGCACTGACTGGCATCACTGCTGGGCACTGACTGGCGGCACTGACTGGCACAACCGCTGGGCACTGACTGTTGGCACTGGCTGGCAGCACTGCTGGGCTGCACTGGTGGGTGGCACTGGTGGGCAGCACTGGTGGGTGGCACTGGTGGGCACAGGTGGGTGGCACTGGTGGGCACAGGTGGGTGGCACTGCTGGGCACAGGTAGGTGGCACTGCTGGGCACAGGTGTGTGACACTGCAGAGTGGCACAGGTGGGTGCACTGCTGGGCACAGGTGGGTGCACTGCTGGGCACAGGTGGGCGGAGCTAGTGGGCGCACTGCTGGGCACAGGTGGGCGGAACTTGTGGGTGGCACTGCTGGGCACCGATCATCAGGGCACTGATCATCAGTGCCCTGATGATCGGTGCCGATCCTCGCTCTGACAACTGCCGGTTCTCGGCAGTACTTTCCTCACGATCTGACAGCGTGAGGAAAGTGCAGCCGAGAACCGGCACTTGCATTTCCCTGTGATCAGCGTGTCATTGGACACCGCTGATCACGCGGTAAAAGGCCGCTGTGATTGGCCTTTTACCACATCACGTGATCAGCTGTGTCTGTAGGACACAGCGATCATGGAGATCGCCGGGTACGCGCCCCCTGGGGCGCGCAGGAGAGCGCGTACTGGGAGGACGTCATATGACGTCCACCCAGAACTGGCCGGCCGCAGTTCAGCCGTCATTCAGCTATCTGCGGTCGGCAACTAGTTATGGATTTGTAGCAAATATCCCATTTGTTTTTAGGAGCTCCCAAAGGTATACAGGAGCTCTGTGTCCCCTTAGTAGGAAATATAGCACCGTCCCAACGGTATGCAGGAGCTCTATGTCCCCTTAGTAGGAAATATAGCACCGTCCCAACTGTATGCAGGAGCTCTCTCCCCTTAGCAGTATAAATATAGCAATGTCCCAACCAGGGGCGGACTGACAACTCATGGGGCCCCCGGGCAATTGGGGATCATGGGGCCCCTGTGTCCTTGCCCAAACTCAAAAAAGCCTATGAAAAAGGTAACGGGCATCTCATGGGGACCCCTACTGACCTTGTGCCCGAGTTTCCAAGTGGTCAGTCCGCCCTTGGTCCCAACGGTATACAGGAGCTCTATGTCCCCTTAGTAGAAACATAGCAACGTCCCAACTGTATGCAGGAGCTCTATGTCCCCTTAGTAGGAAATATAGCAATGTCCCAACTGTATGCAGGAGCTCTATGTCCCCTTAATAGGAAATATAGCACCGTCCCAACTGTATGCAGGAGCTCTATGTCCCCTTAGTAGAAATATAGCAACGTCCCAACTGTATGCAGGAGCTCTATGTCCCCTTAGTAGAAATATAGCAACGTCCCAACTGTATGCAGGAGCTCTATGTCCACTTAGCAGTCGAAATATAGCAACATCCCAACTGTATGCACTAGCTCTATGTCCCCTTAGTGGAAAATAGCAATGTCCCAACGGAATACAGGGCTCTATGTCCCCTTAGTAGAAAACATAGCATCGTCCCAACTGTATGCAAGAGCTCTATGTCCCCTTAGTGGAAAATAGCAATGTCCCAATGGAATACAGGGCTCTATGTCCCCTTAGTAGGAAATATAGCAACGTCCCAACTGTATGCAGGAGCCCTATGTCCCCTTAGTATAAATATAGCAACGTCCCAACTGTATGCAGGAGCTCTATGTCCCCTTAGTGGAAAATAGCAATGTCCCAACAGTATACAGGAGCTCTATGCCCCCTTAGTAGAAACATAGCAACGTGCCAACTGTATGCAGGAGCTCTATGTCACCTTTGTAGAAAATAGCAATGTCCCAACTGTATGCAGGAGCTCTATGTCCCCTTAGTAGGAAATACCAGCACACATGGCTTCTAAGGTAAGTTGTGGAACTGTCCCTTTTTTAGGCTAGCTAAACATTGCATCCAGCTGCCCTTTCCCATTGTTGGCTCTGGGGGTGGTAAGTAGAGGTACTCACATTGTCCCTTGAAATCCTGTTGCCCAGCAAAGACTGCTGTTCCTGCTGTACAAGTCCTCCCTTGCAATACAGGGTGTCTCCTCGATGAGGCTGAAGGGTGGTGAATATCCTTCAGGTAAAACTGCTCCTTTCCTACCTTCCTCAGCTCCTGCCTCGAAGCAGAGCCCCCATCCCCGCGGTCCCCTCCAGGCTTCACAATCCTCTACTTGGCACTCTATACTCCAACCAGCAACAAACCCCTACTGGCCAGGCCCTTCAATATTTTTTGGCACATGTTACCACTTTGCCAGGCCTTCTGGCTGGGGATTGGTCAAACTCCCATGAATAATTATGACCTGACCTGCAGAGCCCTCCAGCCTGATCTGAGCGTGATCCCCATAGACATGCTCACTTTAGCTACTTGTGAGCCAAACTAAATTTACCTATGTGCACTAGGGGGAGCTACATCACCAAATACATAATTTAAGGCAATGGTTGTTAAAGCGGAGCTCCACCCAAAAGGTGAAGTTCCGCTCTAAGGGCTGCTCCCCCCCAGATTTTGTAGCTGCTGACTTCGGTTTTTTGATAGGTTGAGTGGAACTCTGCTTTAACTTGCAACAGAAAGGGGGCCTCAGAAGCAGCCCCTAATGTCTCCAAAAGGCCACATATAATATTTATTACACGCAATGCTACAGAAAACTGTCACAGCCTGAAGACTTGCTAGAAGAAACGGTCAAAGATTGTTCTCCTCTAGTGGTTGGAGCAGGCCTTTTTTTTCCTGGAAATAGGTGCAGGAACGTGATAACAACCCCCCCCCCCCCAAAATGACACACACACACCCTCCAAACCGCATCGATTAGTGAATGTGGTCAAATTTCACTAACAGTGGGAGGGTCTTAAAGGGGCATTAAATGCCAGGAGTGCATTATGTACAGAGTGCTGAGTTGGGGGGAATTACACACAGAATGCAGGAGTGCAGAGTTCAGGGGTATGCTACATGCATTCAGGGGTGGGCTATGTACATAGTGCAGAGTTCAGGGGTGCACTGCATACAGAGTACAGAGTTCAGGGGTGCGCTGCATATAGAGTGCAGAGTTCAGCCTTCTTCCACAGCTGCTTATCTCTGCAACCCCCATTCACATCTTACTTTCGCCCCTCTTCAGCTCTGACCTCTGCATGCACCTCCCCCTTCACTGCCCCCATCTTCTCCCCCCTCCTTAAAAGCTCCACCATCTTCCACATGTCTTATTAAGTAGAAGCATGCAGCCAGCTCTAGTACCTCCCTGCACACTGTAGGTGGCTCCAACTCTCTCACTTGCAGGGAGATCATCCAGTGATTGTGTTGGCATTCACACTGCACCCACGACACCTGCATCTCCCTTATCGCCATCCTGCACTCAGTGGGAGTCATTTAGGAGACCAGATCTGTGGGAGCCAATGGAAGACAAGCTGTCATTTGTAAACACAGAAGCTGGACTTCTGTGTTTACAATTAATAGTGGTGAGCAGGGAGCAAAGGGACTGAGCCAGAGGTGGTGGAACTGAGTACCACCAAGTTCCAGCTGGAAAAAAGCTTTGGGTTGGAGAATGAAGTCATGCTATAGGAGACCATCAGAGACTAGGGACATGTTGTATGAGACCACTGGACTTTACTACAATGACTTACAATTACTCTACAGACTGCTTGGGTGCAAAGGCCGCACTTCAAGCCTCAAAAGGCCACAGGTTGGGCACCAGAGATTTAAGACCTCGTTCACATGGGGTGAACTAAAGTAGTACACCCATGTACTGTACATCCACACTGATGTAAATTGGAATGCAGCAGCTGCATGGACATAGACAATGCCCCAATCTGACATCCATTCAGGTTCCCCCCGAATGCATGTTCACCCGCACCTGTACCCACAGGGATGTCACATTGGGAGCCGCGTATGTATCTGTGAAGCCTCTGCATACCAATCAACATCAATAGGACTGCTTGCACAGGGATGCACGGTACACCTCTGCATTCCTATGTGGCTAAATACAGCCCTCCATGGGCATATGCTTTAGTATGCCCTGTGTGAACTAAGCCTAAGGGTCCATTCACATCAGATGTGTTGGAAAAAAATTTTCAGAGCAGGCCAATGCAAGGACCTGTAAAATAAATAAGGTATGTGATCTGGTTCATTGTGCTGATATGAGCTGGTTTGCAGTACAAAAAAAAATGCAAGCCCTAAGCTCAACTTACAGCCAAATGCGGCCCTTTAGTATAAGATGTGTGGCCCTCAGGCCTTAGTCTGTAGTAGGAACATTGATTAGGGTAATATCATTGATCTCTACTACAAAATGTAACATGTTCCCAGTGTCGTATTGTCTTCTGCAGTATATATCCAGCCAAAAACTTAGCATGTCCACACTCTCTGACCCTCATTTCCTCTATTAGGTCTGCAGTTTCTGACAGTTCTCTCAAGCATTACATATATTGAACATTATGTGGGGCCCTTTCGTGATGTTGAAGCCCCTTTTAGCTTACAAGTTGGCACCACTGCCGTAGAACCTTTGCATGTTCTAAGAATAAAGGAGAAAAGTGCATGTTAAAATGCAACGCAATGCAGCAATCCAACACAAATCAATACATGTGTGGTTACGTGCACCTAATGCACATGTTGCGGTGTGAATGGACCCAAAAAGAGCAGTACTTCAACCACTTGTGGACTGCCCATTGTAGTTTTGCCACTACTGTGAGGGCCAGCTGCGTAGAATCACGTATATATACACGTGATTTTGCTGTTCCCGTTAGGGGGTGCGCGTGAGCATTGTCTCCCTTACATGCAGATCACTGTTTCATGGCCGGGACCCCACCTATTGAAAGAGCAAGTGACAGAAGAGAGATCTGTGTATGTAAACACAGATCTCTCTCCTGATAGTGGGGATGTGACATTTTTTGTCTCCCTGCAAAGAAAGGAATAAAAACCGGCACATCACCTAGTAAAACAGCACACTGTACACAACAATAACACTTCCTAGGCACACAGTTAACCCTTTGATTGCCCCAAACATTAACCCCTTCCTACCAAGTGTCATTAGTACAGTGACAGTGCATTTTATTAGTACTGATCACTGTATTAGTGTCACTGGTGATGTCAGTTCAGTTAGCCAGTGTCAGAATGACCGTACTATTACGGTCCTGCTATAAGTCCCTAATTGCCTCCATTACTATTACAAAAAATAATTCATGCAAACCAATTAATATATGCTTATTGGGATTTTTTTTTACCAAAGACATGTAGCAGAATACATTTTGCACTAAATTTATAAAAAACATTTTTTGAGAGATATATTTTATAGCAAAAAGTAAAAAAATAGTGTTTCATTTTCAAAATTTTCACTTTGTAGCCCAACACATAACCCAGTGGTGATCAAATACCACCAAAAGAAAGCTCTATTTGTGTGAAAATCAATTCTATAAATTTCACTAGGTTACAGTGTTGCATGACCGTGCAATTGTCACTTAACTGGCCTGTTAATGAAGGAGGGTAAGTCTTCCAGAGCGCAAGTGGTAAAGCGGACCTTCACTTAAACATTAAATCCTCACCCCCACACTATATAAATTTGTTGTTTTTTTATTGGTGGGTTTTTTTCTAGGAGCGTTTACCTTTTGTGGCAAGTACCCACTTCCACTTCCATAATTTTCACCTAGGTGAGCATTACATCAGCTTGGCCTACCCGCAATGTCCTGGGACATGTCATACGTCCCAGGAGTCTGTAGAATCAGTCCCACAGTGCTGCCATGCCTCAAGCATGCACAGTGAAGCACTATTTGTGAGACTTCAGAAAGACACAGCTGGTTCCCATATCCAAAATGGCAGTGCTAGAGAGCTGAAGCCTGGTAACAAACTGACACAGAGGAAGACAGTGTTGGATTTTACGGGCTGGTAAGCAGGACTTTTTTTCAGCAGAAGCACAAGGGAACACAGTTCCAGTATCTCCAGCACCGAATGTATGTAATGGCAAGGGGTGCTGGGGTGTGCTGGAGAGACTATTGCTGCTGGCTACTGGGGGATCTATTGTTGCAAGGGGATCAAATGTTG